CCGCCGCCGCCGATCCATCCAAATCATCCTCCGATAGTCGATACGCGTCAAACCAAGCCGCTACCGCCGTCCAACCTAGTAAGTAGCATGCTCTCTGCCGTGTCTGCCGTGTCTGCCGTGTCTGCCGTGTCCGTCGGACCGATTCTTTGGCCCGTATCCGTTCTTCTTTTTCTTCGCTCGAACAATTTCCGCTTTTCGTGTCTTCCTTGTCGTTGCATTTATCTTTTCTCTACCGCACTGTTGTCCGTGGGAGAAGCGATTTTCTGACCTCTAGCACTCGCCTTCTCTCTCTCTATACATATATATATATATATATACATTATATATAAATATTTCTTTTTCTCTGGGGAGAACGCATCGACCTTAGGAATTACGAGTATTCGAGGATTAGAAGAGCGCAGAAACTCTGAGGAACTTTGAAATTAGGAAAGGACTTTATACATGCAGGACTTGGATAAATCCTACAGATGTTAATCTATGACCTACGAAGAGCGTAGCTTTTGCTGCGATTGTCGTTGTCAGAGAGGAGCCTACGTTACATCCTAGTTTTACCTAGGGTAAAAGCTAACGTACGCCAACTCCCATGGGCAGCACTGTTTTACCTACTTCTTCTCTTTGTTCGTGCTCTCTGTACGAAAGAGAATTTCCTTTTCTCCCTCTTTCCCTCTTTTTCTCTGTCTCTCTCTCTCTCTATATATCTATCTATCTATCTTTCTCTGTTTCTCTCTGTGTCTATCTCTGTTTCGGTGTAGCTTCTCTCTCCGTGTATGTACTCTGTACTGTTTTTTTTGTCTTTCTGTCGCTGTGTACCATCGTACCTTTCAGAATGTCATCGGGGATGACCCTGCCAAGATATTCCGCGGAACTTGAACGTATTCTGTTGTTTGGTGTGCTTTGAAAACAAAGCGGTGATTTTACGTACCCGCGTTCCTCCGACTCTCTGCGCAAAAAAGTTACGCGTGTTCGTTACCCTTTCGAAAAAACTTCTCGTTTGTCTTTCCTTCCGTATCTAGCGAGGCATTCGAGGAATCAAAGATGTTCTTGCTCCACTATGCAAATGGCGATTAGAGCGCGAAGAAACCAAGAAAACGAGCGAACGTAAGCGTTCGCTTTCGACGAACAACGATCAGAGCGCGAAGAAACGAAGAATAACGAGTAAGGTAACCGCGGTAAACAACCAACGTCAGATTTCGATACGAAATTCAACGTCGTATTCCTCGTACCGATGAAACGCGAGACACAACGTTGCTTGTTCTTGCTCTTTGTCCGCTCTTTGTTCACGGCTTCTGTCTATCACGGACCACGAAAGAAGAAAAGTCGTCGCGCGATCGAGTAAACGTTTCTTCGCGATAGAGCCGATAAAATTAGAATCCTTTGTCGACCTGTTGCGCGCAACCAGCCACGTTCGTGCACGATATTATTCCGTCACACCAGAGCCTAGTAACGTTCGTGCCTTCACTTGTCTATTTATGTGTGTCTATGTATATGTACATATGTATGTATATATATATATATATACAAATCTAAGTTAAATATATGTATATATATATATATACCTGTATTTCCTGCATTCTAAGTACGCTAGTTGTACTCTTCTGGGATGCTGTCTGTAGACCTCTATCGTGTATGTAACAGTGACTCGATTCGATCCTTTCGTATCCGCGCTCGATGACTCGAGCGATAGTTTCGCGATAGTTGATGATCGGTAGAGGCGAGTAACGCAGTTCGTGGTTCTAAACTCGAAGCATCGAGTGCGATTCCAGCCCGATCGGAGTCGGGCAACGAAATAGAGCGGCTTATACCTCGTCGCTAAAGCGCGTCCGAAACGTTCCAGTGACGGCAGAGCCACAAATAAACGGGGACATGACCGGAGGAGAGTCGAGCGTCGCGTCGACTCCACCGTCGCAGACGCAACCGCCTGTGTCTGCCACCGCCGTAAGCCCTTGGATCGACGACGAACCGGTGGTGAAAAGTCCACCCGAGCCGACCAGAGTGAAGTCGCCGGAACAGATGATCATGCGATCGCCGGAACCGGTCAACTGGACGGTACCTCTCGACACCGGAAAGACGTTCACTGTCACGCAAAACGTCAGGGAAGGTAATTAATCCGTGTCAACTTACCACCGTTGCTCGAATAACACTTGCTTTCGCTAAATGCAAACGAACCTAGGAGAGATTACTTAAACTATATCGTAACTCGTTTGTTTCCAAGAACCTCTAACGCGTCCACATAGCGAAGCGAAAACATGGGCACCGTCCTCGGCACCTTCAGCGCCGCAATCAGCACCGCCCGAATTAGCGGCTCAGCACAAGTCGCAGCACTCCCAACATTCTGGCTGCAAATCACCGGAAAGCGAAAGCGTTTCGATCGGTAGCTTCAGCGGTTTGAACGGACACAAGGATATGGACTCGGAAAGAGACAGCCCGTTGCCGACGAACGTACAGAGTACCGGCACACCGACGCAGCCCGAAAAGGTGATTTATACGGTACCGCGTTGTTAATCTATCCGCCGATTCTAGATTCGTGAACTGAAGAGACAAATCGATTTCCAGGAAACCGTAAGCGCCGACGAAGAATCGAAAGAGCCGCAAAGATCGGAACCATCGGCATCGATAAAACCGGTAGCAGGAACGAATTTAAGATGCCTAGAGGATCCCGGCTTCGAATACGACAGAAAGAAGGAGGCCGGTGGACAAGCGACGACTACGGCGACTATGACGACACCGTCGTCGTCGACTCCTCAGCAAGGTTACCGTATCCTGGAGGCCGAATCGCCTCAAATCGGCCCGGGAGCTGGCTACCACGTGCTCGAAGCACCGACGGTCGTTCCTGGCTCGGCCCAGCGTTCGGCGGCGAGCGAAGTGTTGGAGAAGGCGCGAAATCGGTTCGATAAATTCTGGGGTAAAGGTAGCGGTTCGGAGAATTAATAGATGACCGCGCTGCGCCGCGTCGTACGGAACAAGCATCGACGTCCTCGAAACCGAACGAGCAACCGAAAACGACAAGGAATCGACGATAGAAGGAGCGGATGTTTCTTCGACGAGGTTCCTGTGGATGCTCCTTCCGCGGTTCGATTGCTCGTCCCTGATCAACGTTCGTTCATTGGGACCGAGTCCTCGCAGGTTCCTTCGAGTCTTACCTATCACGCGTTCAACGTTTTTTCGTTGATATCGGATCAG